AACAACAACAACGCTACTTGGATCAATGATAGATACCTTCAACCACTGTCATGCTTACATCTGAACTAACTGTCCACGCTTCCAAAAAAACGTGTCTTGTTTCTTGATAATTGGTCTACCAATCACTCAGTCAGAAGTTTGAGTGTAAGCTTTCCCCTCCTCCTTATAAACCTAACTTCTGCTAATTCTACCACCCACCTACTTAGTATTCTTTTTCTTTTTTAACTAGCACTGCCTTAGATCAAGGTTGCAAAATTGCCCATTTGAAACATAGCAGCAGCGTCTAGAGAGTCTCCTGGTGTTATGCCGCAGGATAAACATTGTACTGCAGACCATAAGGCTGGTGGTTCAAACCCACCCTCTGCTCCTCTAAAACCCTATACCGGGTTGCTATGAGTCGGAATCGACTTGATGGCACTTAACAACAATAACAATTAGAGAGAAAACCTAACAAAACCGCATCAGAAACATCAGCAATAAGAACATTAATGTGTAAAGTGCGGTAATGGGTCTTCTAACTCTGACTCCCTCCACTTATCCAAATTCTCCTTCCCTGGGGATCCGTCATCCGTCACTGTTAGCACCCATTCCCTTTCAGTGCCAACCTTGCAACAATTAAATTGTGTTTTTTTTACAAGAATTTAATTTTGTTAAAAGCAAAATGGGTGCTTTTTTTTTTTTTTCCTATAGCTTCCAATAAATAGGTTTCTTCAAATCCATTAATATGTATCTTCTATCTTCTCTTCCACATTGCAATGACTGTCTCCTAAAATGCAGCTTTTCGATGACTCTCCACTGTCTGATGATGAAGCCTTAACTTCCTAACAGACCATGCAAAACCTTTTGCCTCATCTATCGCTCACCAGCTGCTCCTTGGAAACCCTACACAGGGTCGCTATGGGTCGGAATCAACTTGACGGCACTTAACAACAACAATCACTTCCAAGGCATCCTATCCTCCCACCCACTATTTACTCATGAAATCTGAGTATGTGATATTTATCAAGAAGGTGTTCTTGACCTTATACATTATATTTCCTTTGACTGGAAAGCTTCTCTCTCCTCCCTTCATGTATTCTGATATATCTATCCATAGTGGTTACGAATCAGGTTGTGACCTCAAAGTCAGCAGTTCGAAACTACCAGCTGTTCCGTGGGAGAAAGATGAGGCTTTCTGCTCCTGTAAAGATTTACAGCCTCAGAAACCCTGTACTGGATTGCTATGAGTCAGAACCAACTCCACGGCACATAACCACCACCACCATCATCTGGTAAATTCAGCCCCACCTTTAAGACTTGCTCAAATAGCACTCTCCTCCATGGAACTTCTTTATGTTATCTTCCAAAGTTTCCTATCTTCTCCCTTTGTTTTCATAACATTTTTCTAATAATGTATTGTGGATGCTTCCCTCAATATTCATTCCCAAAACATTATGTTACATATGAATAAGTTCTCCCTGTTGTTGTTAAGTGCCACTGAGTCAGTTCCAACCCATAGCGAGCCTGTATAGGGTTTCCGAGAAGCTACTGGTGAGCTTGAACTACCGACCTTGTGGTTCAAACCAACTTTGCTGTCCAGCGCATTAACCCACAGCACCACACCAGGATTCCAAGTTCTCCTTAGTCCACTACAAATGACTTTTGTCTCCTTCATACTTCGAAAATACCTCTTTCTTGTTTCAGTGCACTAAACAATTCCAACTTCAACAGACAAAATAGTCTCTTTAAATTTAATCTTTCTTTGAGATGTGATTGTTACTTTTATAGAACTCCCAAGCTAGTGGGATTGCTGTTCATATGTTCTGTTTGCAATAATGTAGTAAACACTAAGCAAGGATCACATTCTACTTAACCTTTGTATCCATGTGCCTAATACCTAATGAAAGAGCTTCAAATTGCCTCCTTTTCATCTCAAAATACAGCTTTGCCATTTCTCCCATCTTAGAGAAAGACCATCTATTTCAAGGATCACCTGTCTCCTTGTGTCTCTGATTTCAGTCATTTTCAAGTCTCTGGAGCTTCACGTTATCAATATTCTTTATTTCTCTTGCACTGCCAAGCTTTCTCTTCACCACAAAACCCTTTTCAAATCCCTCACTATTTGGCACACTCCCTTGTCTTCTTAAAAAGTATTTAATACCCACTCCATCTAGGATCACAAAGAACTCGTTCATCACTACTTACAATCTGCTTTATGCCTTTGCCACTTCTTAGGAATTGCTTCGTTCTAGAAGGTCACTTTTAATAAAAAGATCCTAATGGGAAAAGCCAATTCCCTGATCTTATCCATCTGCCTCTACTTCTTGTAGCACTGACATTCCTGACTACCAGAATTCTCTTTTCTCAGTTTCAAGGCCATTCTGTAACATCCAGGTTCTCCTTCTTTGTAGATTCTTGCTCTATTCTGAGAGGGTAAGGTTATGGTAATGAGGCAACAGTGAACACAAAATGAAAAGGAAGACAACTGTCAAACTGAGTCAGGAAGTAACAAAGTGCATTTTCTCACTGCTCTTTCTAGACAGGCAACTGATAAAAAAAGAGGTGAAGAGAGCTAGCTTGATGACATTATGTACCTTGATGGGATTATATCTAGAGAACTCAAAACATAAGTCCACAAACATTTGTGCACAAATCTTCAACAGCATCACTCTCAATAGCCAAAAAATGAAAACAAATCAAATGTCTATCCATGAGTAATGGACAAATTATAATACGTTCATACAATGAAATACTAAATACTATAAAGAGGAAAACAGTGCTGATACATGCTACAATGTGGATGGCACTTTGTCAAAGTGCCAATAGCACATCAAGAAGTCAGACACAAAGGGCGCATAGTATGTGCCCCATTTATATGAAATGTCTAGAATAGGCAAGGTACACTGTTGTTGCTAAGTGCTGCCCTGTATAGGGTCTCTGAGGTGTAGCTGGTGGGTTTGAGCTGCCACCCTTGTGGTTCACAGTCCAGTACTGATGCTACAGTGCCACACTAGGAACAGAAAAATACGTTAGTGGTTTCCAGGGGCTACAAAGAGGTGAGCAGCAAGTGACTGGTAATGGGCGTGGGTTTGGAGGAGGGGTTATGACATGTTCTGAAATTAGCAGTGATGGTTGCATAACTCTATGAATATGCTAAGAATCACTGAATATGGTACACTTTAAAAGGGTGAATTGTATATTACATGAATTACATCTCAATTTTAAAAAAAGGATTAGCGTTTTATACATGAACTGTTCATACATGCACATGTCATTGGTTGTGTGTTTTGTCATCTAGTTTCCTTAATTTATTCCCTGTCACCTTTCCCTAGTGATCAGGAGCTATAAAGTCTATATTTTTCCTACTTCTACAGCAAGAGACCTGCAAAATCTATGCAAGGGGATCATTTCTAGTTCATGTTCAAGACCCCTGAGACAAAAGTACCAGAGCAAAGTCTAGACAGCAGTAACAAATTATTGAGGCACTTCTCACCATTAAGCATTTTTTCTCCTCTTGGTCTTGGCACATTGAAATGGCATCTTGAGGGGGAATCATATTCCAAAGTCCATCACTACCCAAGATAATATATTTGTGCTTCTGGGGGTCAAGATGGTGGACACTTGTGTCTGGTTCAGGTGACACAACAAACTCACCACTGAAGAAATCATAGCTCCACAAATCACCTAGGATAGGAAGCAGAGGAAGCAAGAAGTATTATTTCCAATAGCACATCAACAGATTAAAGGAATAAACCTGTATGTTCATCATAATAGTGCAGAAAAGCATTTAATAACATTCAAAATCTATTCATGAGAAAAACTTCCTAGCAAATCTTTTGTACTTTTCCTTTCCAACCTGGTCCAGGAACAATGGCTCCTGCAAAGAACAGTGGTGAGAGGAAGTGGTGGCCAGAAAGTGCACCTTCAACATTCACAAGTGCATCCAGGGAGTGGGCTTCAAGAAGCATGCTCCCTCTGGAATTCAAAGAAATTTGAAATTCTTCCTTGAAGGAGATGGAATGCCACATGTGTGCGCTGACATGTTATATGCTCTGTCTAGGCTACAGAACTAAGGAGTACAGTCCCATGCCTTATATATGTCCAGCCATCCAGAGAGTGTAATGAGGATTCATTCACCAAACAAACCCTATACATTGGTTTACTTTTGTGGCCCCTTTCTAAATCCTACAGTCAATGTAGACAAAAAGACATAAAAACTAACCATGGACTATGAAGTAGTTATAAAACTGCCTTCATATGGAAAAAATTTTAAGACTTCCCAACAAACTAGAAATAAAAGGGAATTGCCTCAATTTGATGTAAAAATTTCCATCTTACATAAGATGCTTGCTTAAAAATAAAATGTTAAAAGCATTTCCTTTTTAAATAAGGAATAAAAACTCTGCCTGCTACATCACTTCTCTTCCAGTACTATCCTGGAGGCCCTTCTAAGTACAGGAAAATAATAAAAATGAAAAATGTATGAATCAGAAAGAATATAAACTCATAAACGTAGATACTTTGATTTCCACATTAGCTATATACATAGAAATTATTACGATAAGAAAGTGTAGCAAGGTTGCTATACCCAAACCCAACATATAAAAGTCAACATATAAAAGAAACAAAATGTATTTTTCAAAAATATTCCATTTACAAAAGTAAACCAAATGTAAGACTGTTGTTGTCAAGTCAGTTCTGATTCATAGGGACCTTATGCACCACAGAAGGAAACACTGCCCGATCCGTACCATGCCCACAGTTGTTAAGGAACGGCAACACATTAAACAAAGAGCAGTGTAGGGTGAAAGCGCTCCTTCACATTTGTCCCTTCCTTAGAGGTTCTGCCTCTCGGCAGCTCCTCTTCTATCTTTACAATTCTCTTTACCCCTCATTAGGTCATTTCATTATAGTCGTTAGTTCTTTGTGTCAACCTTTCTCTGGTCAAATCACCACGTGATTCCTCAGTCCTGATTGAATCCACACTGGATCTTGACTGATACAGATAATGTATTGTTGTTGAAACTTTTGAGCATGCATAAAGATGCCTTTATGTGTGTTCTGAATCACAATGCAAACTGTATTGTAGGTCATAGTAAAAAAAAAAAAAAAATTAAAGGTTCTTCTTGCTTAGGTAATTCCATCCATTCCCACGGCTCCAATTACCTTTTAAACAAAGGTATGACTCAAATATATGTGTCATGCTCTAGACATGTAGTCAACAATCTACTCAACGCTTCCATTTAAATAGTTTAAAGGCAATTCAAACAGAATGTCTAAATTGAACTTATTATCTTTAGGCACTTGCTTCCATCCCCTCATCTCACCTAGTCCGAGTTACTACCGGCTGGCACCAAGAGTACTATCGCATAGCCTCCTAAACTACTGACAACTACCTTTGATCTCCTCTAATCCACTCTTAAAGGAGCCCTGGTAGCCTAGTAGGTTATGAGTTGGGTTGCAAACCATAAGATCAGTAGTTTGAATCTACCAGTACTCCGAGGGAGAAAGATGAGGCTTTCTGCTCATGTGAAGATTTACAGCCTCGGAAACCCTACACAAGGTCACTATGAGTCAGAACCAACTCTACAGCACTAAGCCACTAGAACAAAAATCATCTTTTTAAAACGCAATTCTAGTAATATATTCTCCCACTCCACCCAACACATATAAACAACACCAAGACATCTTTTGATCACAGCTTGTAAGACTGCTATTTTCTCGTTGGATTCGCTGCCTCTTACCCCTGGCTCCTGTACACATTTCTAGTACGCAGCCACAGCAACTTATTTTTACCAGGCTTCTTCCTAGCACAGAACTTGTCACAAATGCTCTTCCTATGCCCAGAACACACTTTGTCTCTCTTTTAAGTACTAGCAATTTTTCAGCTATCAGCTCAAGCATCACTTCTCTAACCTCTCTGGCTAGACAAAATGCTTCGATTTTAAGTTCTCATTAGAACATAATACAAGCACTGAAGCATTAAGTTTTTCAGTTCTTTTTGTGATAATTTGGTGACCTCTTTACTAGACTGTAAGCTCCATGAGGGAAAAGGCCTTGTGCTTGGTACAGAACAGTACATATTGATTGCATTCAATAATTGTACAGTCAATGAATAGATGGTATGCAAGACTCACATGCAATTCCAGCAGGCAGCCACTAGACGGCACCTCTGCTACATTGGTACTGGAGTAATTATCCCAATCATCATCAGCCTTTAAAGGTGCCAATTTGGATAAGGAATTTTCTCTTTACCAGAAAGTGCTGTCAAGTTGGTTCTGACCCATAGCAACCCTGTATAGGGTTTCCAAGGAGCAACTGGTGAGCTCGAACCACTGATCTTACAGTTCAAACTGACTTTGCAGTTCAAACCAGAATTCCAGAGTGTAGTAGATCCTAATCCTAATCCCTTACGAGTGTTGTTTTAGAAAATGAGAGGAAAGCAGACAGACAGAGGGAGAACGTCATGTAAGAATCCATCTACAATCCAAGGAATGCCAAGGAACATCAAGATCCAGCAAAAGCTGAAAGAGACAGAACACAGCCCTGCCAATGCCGTGAATTCAGATTTCTAGCCTCCAGAACTGTAAAACAATACATTTCTGTTCCTTAAAGTCATCCACTCTGTGGTATTTTGCTTTGGCAGCCCTAGGAATTTAGACGCTAATGTTACAAATAGCAGTAGTATATTTCAAATTTCCCCTGTATCTTAAATCTAAACGCTTGACTATCACCTTCTCTCCTACTTTTCCTTGCTAACAGCTGGAAGATCAATTGTATCCCCTTATACTATGAATAAATGGCCTAGGTAATGTAATCTTGAGCAACAGCCTTCTAGTTTTACAAAAAAATTATGTTAAGTGCTTAGAATACAGCAAGAAGCCCCTAAGTTATATCCCTGCCTCCATTTAAAAATAAGTTTGTTGTTGTTGTAGAGAATACACACAGCAGAACATACACCAGTGCAACAATTTCTCATGGACAATTCAGTGACAATGATGACATTCAACAAGATGTGCAAACATTCTAGCCTCCTTTTCAGAGTTGCTCCTCCCCCACTCACATATACCCACTGCTTCCTAAGTCTCCTATCTAATCTTTCGAGCTAATGTTATTTGATCCCAGATTGATTTTCAAAGAGCACAGTGCTCAAGACAGACATTCTTGACTAGTTAAGCTAAACTGTGGCTTCATTTTAAGAATGCTTCACAGGATATTTTTTGGTGTAATGTTAAGATTACCTCAAAGCAATAGTTTCAGGGATTCATCCCGTTTCTATAACTCCAGAAATCTGGAGTCTGTGAGAATCTGAAATTCTGTTCCTCATCTACCCTATTTTGATCAGGATTCTTCTACAGAAGTCTTTAATCCAAATGCTCAGTGGTAACCAGGCACCATCCAGGAGGCAGTTGTTCATGGAATCAAACAGCTAGACATCCCATTTCCTCCTTTTACTCTTACCCTGACTTTCCTACTTCGTTGTTCCAGGCATATAGAGGCCAGCTGTTGTGTCTTGGATAGTTGCTTATAAGCTTTAGGACACCAGGCACTACACAAAGAAGTAGGAGGTAGAACAGAAGCACTAAACACACTATTAGGCCTATTAACTGGTATGTCCTATGAAAACCATGACCCTAAACCTCCACACCAAATCTCAAGAGTTGTCTGGTTATATGTAAGCAGTTTCAGAGGCTACATTTTGTGTGTGTGTGTCCTTATTCTGTTATAAAACTATCATGCAGTTCTTTACATGTGTACAACTTATTGACAAGAATTAATCAGCTATGCAACCTTACCTTAATCAATGTGATTTTGTCAACACCATTAACCCTTCCTTTCCCCTGCCCTCTCGGCTCCTGGTAACCACTAATAAACTTTGGTCTCCATACATTTATCTGTTCTTTTTTTTGTTTTTTATGTAAGTGAGGTCATATAGTATGTGTCCTTTTGTGACTGGCTTATTTTACTCAACATAATGTCTTCAAGCTCCATCCAAACTGTAGCATGTATCAAGACTTCACTTCTCTTACCGGCTGAATAGTACTCCATTGCACCAAGTTACCACATTTGGGGTGCTGCCACCTTCTGGCTATTGTGAAAAGTACTGCAAAGATCATTGGTATATAAGCATCTTAGTCTCTGTTTTCAAGTCTTTGGGGGAATATTCCAAAAGGAGAATTGCTGGGTCATATGGTAGTTCTATTTTTATTTTTATTTTCTAGAAATTACCACACTGTTCCCACACATTCCTACCAATAATAAGTGTTCCAACTGCTCCACATTTGTTATTTTGTTGTATTTTATATATTTACATCTTAGCAACCCTCCCATTGAAGTCGAGCTGATTCCAATTCCTAGTGACCATGACCTTAGGACAAAATGGAACCACTCCCTGGGGTCTCCAAGGCTGTAATCTTTATGGAAGCCAACCGACTGCTACATCTTTCTCCTGCAGAGTAGTTGGTGGGTTCAAACAGCCCACCGTTCAAACACTGAGCCACCAAGGCTCTTCTTTAGTCGTCCTGTTGTAATTAAGTGTTGTCAAGTCGGTTCCGACTCATAGCGACCCTGTAAAGGATTTCCAATGAGTAGCTAGTGGGTTTGAACTATCGACTTTGCGGGTCACAGTCCAGTGCTGATCCTACAGTGCCACACCTGGAGTCCTTAGTCATCCTCGAGCAAGGGAAATAGGCTTGATTGACATCTCACAGATGACTAATGACATTGAACATCTTTACATATATTTGATCCTGCCTCCATTTTTATTCCCCTATAATCTTATCCATATAACATCCAAAATGATCCTTTAAACACATAAGCTGTATCATGTCACTGCCCTACTTTAATAATTAACAGTAATAATAACCGCCAATATTTACAGGCCACTTACCATGTGTCAAGCATTACTCTAAGCACTTTACACATATTAAATCATTCAATATAAAACTATGAGGTTTTATTATTGTGTTGTTAAGTGCCGTCGAACTGGTTCCAACTCAGAGTGACCCTGTATAGGGTTTCCAAGGAGTGGCTGGTGAGTTTGAACTGCCAACCTGTGGTTCAACCGACCTTGAAGTATAGTGCTTATTCTAGGGCTCCACATCAGCACTCATTACTCTTATGCCCATTTCATATATGAAAAACAAACATGTCACGAAAGTTGAAATAATGTATGTACCAAGGTTGCGAAGCAGCAGCACTGGAAATGGAATCGAGGCATTTTGCATCCAGCATCTTTAACGGTTACCAAGCACTTCCTCTAAAACTTGTTAATCCCTTCCCAATAATGTTTAAAATCAAAATCAAATTCCTTACCGTGGCACCAAGGTCTTTTTAAAATTTACTTTCTGCCAATCAGCCCTCATGGCTTCTTCACCAAATTCTTAGTTTGGGCTATGTGGTCCTTGAAGGGACTTTAAAAAGTTCATGGGGAAATGGACTGCAAAGAAAATTGAATTTTCCCATGAACTTTTTGAAGCCCCTAGTATCTCTAGCTCTCCTCTCTCACTCTGGCTTAACTCCTGCTTCTCAAAGACACTAAGTCCTTTCCTGCTGGTGTTAGGGTCCTCTGCTTGTTAACAATAGGCACCTCAGGTTAATTCAGGCTAAGAATTCAACTTGGAAGAAAATCAAATAGTTCACACAAGAGGCAAGAAATGATAAGAGCTACACATGGTAACAGAACAGTTTGGAGCAACTCGTCAGGAAAACCCCACTGTATCACAGTATCCTGCCTCAGGAGCCCACTGACACTAAGATGAATTCCATCCAGTTGTTAGATTTTATTTTTTGTTCTTACTCATCCACCTACTGCCATCAAGTCAATTTTGACTCTCAGTGACCCTAAAGGCCAGGAGAGCTGTAACTTCGGGTTTTTAAGACTGTCCGGTCTTTATGGAAGAAGATGGCCTCATTTTCCCCCACAGAAAAACTGCTGACCTTGCTATCTGTAGCCCAACACTTAACCCACTGCACCACCAGGTGTCCTTATTCAAAGTCTGGAGATAAAGAGACTCTGACTGGCTGACCTTGGGGCATATATCTACTTCTTTATATGTATTATAAAATGTTTTATATTAGGAATATCTAAAATAAAACAATGTAGGAGAGAAGGTCCCTAAAAGAAATTGGGATGTTACATAAGAATGTATGTTGAATAACCCCTTATCCCCATTCCCCCAAAAGTAAAAGTCCACTAACTGCCTAGAGGCTTTTTTGCACATGCTATGTATAGCTCTGCTTTGACTACTACAATCTTTGACCCCTTTGCCTCCTTCAGGTATCATTACAGTAGCACACCTTAAAGAAGGTTCCCTGGTCCTTCTCTCTAAAGGAGCCCTTCCCAGCCACTAGCACACCAACCACTCACATATCACTTGGCTTCATTCCTTTATGACACCTTTTAGAATGATTGTCTTATTTGTTTATTATCTATCACCCTTCACACAAAAAGGATGACAGGCTTCACGAAGACTGAGACTATATTCATTTAATCATCATAGAGGAACAAGCAGTACATTACATACTCCTTAACTTAATGGCCTTCAATGCTGCCCACGGCCCAATGCTGCCATTGAGCTCACCAACTGTAATTATATTGGCCTCACATGCCACACTCTTTCCCACTGCAGGATACATATCTGGAGTTTTCTTCCATAGCATCTTCAAACAACTAGCTCCTTCTTAACCTTTAAAACCCAACTAAAATAGTACCTACTAAGAGAATCATTTCCATCACACTATTATCTAAAACACTTTTTTCCCTTCTAAATTATTGCTTATCACAGCACCCTGTTTATTTCTTTCAAAGCATTTCCTAACCTGCAATTTATTTTCTTCATAAATTTACTTCTTTATTGTCTGTTTTCCAACTACACAATCCTGCTCCACGAGGACAAAGAGCATATGTGAATTATATGTCCACAGCCTAACGTATTGACTGGTATATATTGAAGTCAGTGAGCCAGAGTGCTCCCTGAAAGCCAGGATGGCCTGACTTCGTTTCACATACTTCAGACATATTATTAGAAGGGACCAGTACCTGGAGATGAATATCGTATTTGGTAAAATGGAAGGTCAGAGAAAAAAAGGTAGACCCCCAATGAGATGGATTGGCACAGTGGTAGCAGAAATGGGCTCAAATGTAGCAATGATTGTGAGGTTGGCGCAGGACCGGGCAGTGTTTCGTTCTGTGGTGCATTGGGTCGCTGTGAGCTGGTACCCACTCGAGGGCACCGAACGACAACAAAGTCAGTCCCCAAGATATAAATTAGTTTTTTAAGAGAAATTTTCTTTAGAAAAACTATTCTGATCTAGTTCAGCAAAGGTTAAGATGTTTTTATAGCTAAATTTTCTAGTCTTCCTTCCAAAACCGGGTTGGCTAGAAAATATCTTTTTTACTTTGTCATAGACAATTAACTTTGCCAGCAAAGTACACTCTTAGAAGAAATAATGACAGGCTGAAATAGGGAAGGACCTTAAAAAACACTGTCATGGGTAACATCATGACGAGACATACATATATTTCCCTAAGTATGAATGCTGCATGTTGTTAAGTGCCATAAAGCCAGTTCTGATTCATAGCGACCCTTTCTGAAGAGCAGCTGGTGGGTTTAAGGCGCCAACCATATCATATATATACTTAGCAGCTCAGTGCTTATCCTACAGTGCGCGCCACACCAGAACTCCCTGAGAATTATCAAAACATTGAACATGAAACATGACTCATGATCTAAGAGCAACTGGCAATGACACCCAAAACTTCCCCTTCCTCCCAGGAAGGTTTTAGTACACGGACTACTACATCATCTTATTTCTAACCACCTAAGGATGTGATTATCCGTCTGTTCTCTCAATTTATCATCTTCCATTGTCTTGGTGTGACGCTGTGGGTTAATGTGCTGGACTGCAAGATTGGTTTGAACCTCCTGGTTGGCGGTTCAAGTTTACCAGCTGCTTTTTGGAAACCCTATACAGGGTCGCTGTGAGTTGGAATTGACTCAACAGCACTTAACAACAGCACTGCCATAAATCTACTGTCTTCACCAAACATGAAGTCCTTCTTACCAAGTGCTCTTGCTACTGCCAGAAAAGGAATCTGGTCAATAACTGTGCTCCTTCGTACAGGTCCATTGTGAGTCAGCCGAGGTCGTTTCCAGACTACACGATTCACTCCAGACTTGTTCATCACACTAAAAAATAAACAAAAGAGCTCATATAAATACCTGAAGTGATTAAAACATAACAACTAAGCCAGTTCAATGTGATAAATAATATAAGAATATATTATGACAAGATAATGATTTATTGACTTCAGATACAAAGATGCATAACACAGAATTTCTGTTCAGAAAATAAAGACAAAATAGAATAAATAAGAAGGGGAGAATGTGAAGATTACTGTAGGCACACATAATAGGCAGCACAAATCTGCTGCCCAAGGCCTTTTTAAAGTGTTGAAGAGCAAAGATGTCAGCTTGAGGACTAAGGTGCGCTTGACCCAAGCCATGGTATTTTCAATAATCTCATATGCATGTGAAAGCTGGACAGTGAATAAGAAAGACTGTAAAATTGATGCTTTTGAGTTATGGTGTTGGAGGAGAATTTTGAAAGTGCCATGGGCTGTCAGAAGAACCAACAGATCCATTTTGGAAGAAGTGCAGCCAGAGTGCTCTTTGGAGGTCAAGATGGCCAAACTTCGTCTCTCATACTTCAGACATATTGTCTGGAGGGAGCAGTCACTGGAGAAGGATATCATGTTTGGTAAGGTGGAGGGTCAGAGAAAAAGAGGAAGACCCCCAGTGAGATGGATTGGCCAAGTGGCAGCATCGATGGACTCAAGCGTGGCAACAGTAGTGAGGTTGGCCCAGGATTGGGCAGTGTTTCGTTCTGCTGTGCATAAGGTTGCTATGGGTCGGTACTGACTCTATGGCTCCTAACTGCAATAACAACAACACATAATAGAATGGAAATAATGGGGTGGGAGCGGAGTGGATATCAAGTCAAAGAAGAAAGCAAGAGCACTTCATAAGTAATATACATTTCTTAAATGTGAAAGGAAGAATAGCTTAAGTGGAGAGAGATTAAAGAGTAACTAAGCAAATATCTTGTTTTGAGGGTTTCAGTTGAGGGAGTGCACAGTAACAGTTTTAATATTTTTTATTTGAATGGTGGCTGTAGACAACAGGAAATAACACAATAAAAACATTTATGAATTTAGGTATTTCTGTAATTAAAACCTTGAAACTAAACTTTGGGAAATAGACCAACTGTTGAGCTGTACACACGGGAATTACAGAGTAAGAACACAGTTAAAACCAAATAAAAAGTGTGCGTTTTCTTCAATATATCTGGATTAAGGAAGTCTGAACATTGTAGAATTGAATAGTTCAGGTTTTGAAAGGAGCAGAGTCAAAAAAAGAGGAAGACTAACTGGTAAAAGAGTAGATGGAAGGAAGCATTAAGCAGAAGGCAAGGAAGGGTCATTCAAATAAAATTATGAAGAAAAACATAAAATCAGTGTCAGAAAATGAGACCAAGCCAAACACCACTGAACACAATCATCAGACTGTTCTTACCTTTAAGACTAGTTCTAATAGAAGCAAAACCAGAAGATGACCTCAACTTAGAAGAAATGATTTGTGAAGAAACAAAAATAGTAAAAACAGAGCCCACCTAAATATTTGGCAGAGGGACATGGGGTAACAGAGGAGCCAGGAGACTTGGAAACGAGGTTGATTCTCTTGGCAAAACAAGTAAAAACACAAAGTAGAGACGGTCTCTCAATGTATGCCTATTGTTGTTGTTGTTAAGTGCCATGGAATCAGTTCCAACTCATAGCTACCCTGTATTGTTGTTAGTCGTCATCATATCAGTTCTCCTGAAAATATCTACAGATATTATGGGTTCTTACTCTCCGGAGAACAAAAGACAAATAATGGCACTAGTTAAAATATAGCTGTAAATCCAGTGTCAAAAACTCAAGGCGATGTTTTAGAGATGCTGTTATCATTGCACTTCCTGCCGTTGTCTTGCAGGATTAAAAGGTATGCAAAAAGATATAATCTGAACACAGAGAGCCGACTGAGCAGCAACAGAAGGCTGGAAAACACAAACTCTGGCCAGTTGCCTAGGTTGAGACAGAGGGAAAGGAGGAAACAACATATAATCAAACCATTCAATTTGCACAAAAGACACCTGCTCCAAAATGGCAAAGTGCATCAGTTCAAATGCCCATACAGTATGTTACGTGATAAAGCAAAAAACTTAAACTACAATTTAAAAAAAAGAGAGTGGGGTAGGTGGGAGGACTAAAATTTAATATGTTTCCAACAAAGAAAACATAATTCTAAATTACAAGTAGAAAAAGAAATAAGAACAGCGAGAAAAAATTAATATGCATAAAAGAAAATCAATGAAAATGGTTCAAACCTACTAATACTAAAACATTATAAGAAAGTCTAAGTTGCAAGAATATATATGGTATTGGCACATGAGCAGATGGAGGATGGAGGGGGGAATTGAAAGCCCTGAAAAATACTAATATAGGTGGAAATTTAGTTGAATATGTCAAAGGCCACTTGAACTACAAGCAGTGGTCCCACTGTGAATGTGAAGACGACCACACTAACAGATTCAAATAGACCATGGCCTGAAACCAAAGGTTCAATTAGCTTTGCAGATGGCTGTATACAGGACAGGAAACACACTGTGGCAGCTCCCGGCAAGTTGTCTTCAGCAGGGATCCTTACAGAAATTCAGAAGTCATTTTCTATCCCCCAAGTGACTGCTTAGTTGTAAGTAAACAAGACCATATGGTCAGACATAAGAACAACTTATTTCAAGTAAGCTTCCTGTGTCATAGAAGCCAGTATGTTGTAGTCCATGGTTATAGCTTCCTGACCCCGTACCAGTCAAACTGCATGCAGATAGGGACACTGAGCCTATGTGTCCCAGAAGAAAGTTATGCTTCATTCAAAGTCCTCCCTGTGAGGCACAGTTCCTTTCAAGGGTCATTCTAATAACAAGAAACATTGCCTTATTACACAATTGGCATTCCATATTTATTATAGCCACAGAAACAATGCTAGAAGATAAACTCTAGGTCATCTTTCCATGAGAAAGAGGTTTAAACCTAGTGACAACTCTTCTAATCAGTAGAGGAAGCATGTCATTGTTCACATGGCTACTGATCACCATCTAGACAGAATGTTATGTTGCACCCCACTATACATCTTGGACTCCTGGTGTGATGCTGTAAGATTAGCACTGAACCGTAAACCACAAGGTCTTCAGTTTAAACCCACCACCACTCCTTGGAAATCCTATACAGCGTCACTCTGAGTTGGCACTTAACAACAACATACATCTTAGATCTTAAATTTTCCACTGCTGGTAGAGGTGCTAATTGGCACAACCTCTATGAAGACAAATAGTTACCAATTATTTCAAACACACTCTTCTTTGATCTAGCAATTGCTCCTCTAAATATACTTGCATATAGGCAAAAGATCTATGAGCATGGTTTTTCATTTAACAGCATTGTTTGTAATAACAAAAAGCTAGAAATACATATCTTTCAATAAGACATTAGTTATTTAAATAATGGTGGTGGTGGTGGTGGTGGTTGTGTGCCGTGGAGTTGGTTTGACCCATAGTAACCCTGTATAGGATTTCTGAGGTTATTAATCTTTATGGGAGCAGAAAGTATCATCTTTCTCCCATGGAATAGCTGGTAGTTTCAAACTGCTAACCTTACGGTTAGCAGCTCAAGTTGTAACCACTACGCTACCAGAGTTCCTTTTAAATAATAGTACAGCTATATATTTGATTGTATAGGAATATCTTCCTACCAAAGGATACACAGTAACATTGGTTGCCTGTATGTGGAAGGAAACCATGTAGCCTGTGAGACAGAGATGGCTGGGAGACAGATAAATTTCTATCATCCAGAACATTGCTAACATCTGGTGTATTTCTATCCTAGTCTTATTTGTCTGCATAGTGAGATATCAAAACCCATATAAACTCCTTCATCTCGGGACAGAAATGTCTTAGTGTTTTTCTTTTTGATTTGTTTCACTCCTTATAGTTTCAGGAAATTAATTTTTTCCTCCAGTTTGCACTTTCTCTGAAAAAGATCAGTATCTATTCAATAAAAGCAAGATAGATGATGCAAGTAATATCATCATAAGCCTTTAGTTACGAAAGATTATTCAGAAAACATTGGACTCTATTTAATTTGCCTCATACTCTCAATTTAAAAATAAATAGCATTGGGTACATTTTTTAACTTTCTCATGTTATTTGTTCTCTTGATTTGTAGTATAATCTTATATTTTAATGCAGATGATAAAAATATGATGGTGCAGTCAGTTTCAGCTTCTAGTCTGCAAACTACCTACACTGAGTTACAGCCTTTCCTCATTTACTGAATGATTAGGTTTCAAAGACCATGGTATTATGCAAAAAACAGCATTATACGACAGTGGAAGATGACCACATCAGATCACAAATAGAAGATGACTACATCATTATAAAGCAGCTCTGGTAGCGTAGTGGTTATGAATAGGGCTGCTAATCTCACGATCAGCAGTTCAAAACTACCAGCTGTTCTGCGGAGAAAGATGAAGCTTTCTGCTCCCGTAAAGATTTACAGCCTTGGAAACCCTATACAGGGTCGCTATGAGTCGGAACTGACTCCACGGCACATAACAACATTATATAACTGTCTGATCACATCATAACCATCAAATCACATCATTCATTACATAACTGCTGAAACACTGAGAATCGTGGTCTATCCAAGCTAGCACACAACCTTAACCACCATAGCCAGCGTTACTCTGGCCTCCTACCTTGATGTCCAGTTCCTGCCTGATGTACGTCATTAATATGCAAAATAGTCAGATAGCGTATCTTTTACTATTGTCAAAAATGCAAAATGTTGCGTAACGAGATAGTCAAGAATTGAGGAATGGGTGTACTAAGTACAATAAAGAAAAAGAAGCAATAAGAAAGGTTTTCCATAAATATGACTTAGAAATCAAAGAATAAAGCTTAAAGTTAATTCTAATTTAACTCTTTTACCTTGTAGTTAACTGGAACTAGAAGGGTTGTTCTGCCCAGATACTAAAGGTCATGCTGATCAATAGTTGTGTGAAAGTTTTCATTAAAATAGTATTATGTACTGTGACTTGAGGCCCACTAAAGTCTGATTCTCCTTTATCCAAAATATAACAATCAATTCAAAATAATGAGGTAAATATGAATGCACAAACTAAGAACCTATAATACGGAGAAATAAAGTAATTTCATTATAAGGGAGAAGTCAGTCACTCTACGACTGTGAGTTGATGCACTAGACTGCAAGATCAGTTAGAACCTCAGGGTCAGCAGTTCTAGCTCACCAGCCGCTCCTCAGAAACAGGGTCGCTTTAAGACAGAACTGACTTGACGGCACAACACAGGAAAGACAAAACAGCACAATGATTACCTGCCACCAAGTCCTTCGATTCGTTCTCTTTCCTTGGGAAGTTCTGGCTTATGGTCTTGTGTCACCTCCACAGCTCTGACAAAATCATCCTTTGGATCATCTTGAACTCCAAGAACCACCCCTGAGTCACCCACATGAGCTACATACATCTTCATGCCCCGGATGATGACCACACTGGCAGTTGTCCCTGATGTGCTGGGAAGACCTGTCATAGTCTTGGGCCATTCTGCTGTAATAAGAAATGAAACACATTATTCTTTCATGTATAAACATGAATACTACGTCAGAAAACAAATGGTAGCACATGCTGAGTTAGCATGCTAAAATTTAAACTAACATAGTACAAAATTTAAGAAAAATATTTTGAAAGCTAGAAAAAAAAAAAAAAGGGTTTCATGTTGTCCAATAATCAATAGATTAATCATTTAATTTCATAAATAAAATAACTATCCAACCAACCCTAAAATGGAAATATTCCAGGAAGCATTTATACATAACTTTTAGTCCTATATTTAGAAGATAGAATGTGTTAACAGCTTTGCTGCCATATAGCCAGTAGTTTAACATCGGTTTCTTAATCTCTCTTCAAGAATGTAATAAAAATGACTTTGTTTTTGAAATAACTATTTTGAATATTCATAATCTAACATAGAATCTTCACTGGGCACTTACTGTGTGCCAAACGTTGTGGTAAATTTAACATCCAATCTTAAATTATACTGTAACAAATCTATGAGAAATACGCTTATTCCCAGTATTTTCATTTTATAGATAAAGATATTAATATTTTGAATAGCTAAGAAATTGGTCAAGACAATTCAAAGGTTAAGTGGTAAAGTCCCCATATATTTAATTCCAGTATCTTTATTATTACCTAATTAAATTCACTGTCGTTCATTAATGCTGAAATATTCTGGGTTTCTAAAAAACTTTAACATATAGTTGAAGATTACAGACTGAGTCCAATCATTGGCATATTTATTCTACCCAGAAAAATCTCACTGAGAAGATAGCATGTAAGTATTAGAAAACATTCATAGCAATCATAAAACACTGGAAAATTCCTGGAACTTTAAATAACTGAGAGTATGCTGAAGGAAAAATAATAAATTGAATCACGTATTTCAACATAAGGAAAAACAGCAGGTAGTAAAGAAGGTAAGTCGATCAGTTAGCCCAGAATAGCCTAAACTCAGAGGCAAGGGCAAAAGCTGAGGGCAGGAATAGATGGTAGAAGGTTAGCATATTAATTTTTAAATGTCAGGAATTAGATCAGTGCTGAAGCTCTCTATACATTAAACAGAGACATTTTAGGTGAGATAGTTTAGTCTCTAAATTGGAACTCAGTACAAGAGCTCTTTTTTAAGGGAAATGGTGGATCTGTTGATACGGACAGCAATGTGTCATCAACAGGAGATGTTGGAAGGACTACACCTAAAAACACTGGGCAGAGTGCCAGGCAACTTTCATATCCATAAGGAATGATAACACAGTGGATGCGTTAATACATTCAGCCTAAGTAATTCCTGTCTTTTTTCAGTGTTATATATGCTGAAGACATTCCCTGAAGCATTAAGAAAAGTACACCACCTCTCCATCGTGTCTCACAAATGGAACTCACCTGAGTCGCCCTGGCTCTCACACCAGAGGCCTGCGTGGGGAGATCAGAACCACTACCAATATGGATCAAGCTAGAAAGTATTTACTTATGTTGTTGTTAGTGCCGTGGCGTCAGTTCCGACTCATAGCGACTCTGTATAGGGTTTCTAAAGAGCAATGGTAAGCTTGAACTGCCGACCTTGTGGTTCAAACCAACCTTGGCAGTCCAGTGCTTTATCCCACAACGCCACATGTATGTAAATTAAAAATATAACCAAGAATTACCATTTAGCATAAGAATAAATGTAAAGACACTCCTAACAGAACCTGACAAGGACCTCTGGTAGCGTGGTGCTTACAAATCAGGCTGCGAACCTCAGGGTCAGCAGTTTGAAACTACCAGCTGTTCTGTGGGAGAAAGATGAGGCTTTCTGCTCCCGTAAAGATTTGCAGCCTCGGAAACCCTGTGCAGGGTCACTATGAGTTGGAACCGACCCCACAGTACTTAACAACAACAGAATCTGACACATAAGAATGAATGAATGAATATTAGTTCATTTTTGTCGCTGTTATGCCCATTACTTAAGAAAAGCAAACCACCTGAGAAGCACCAAGAGAAACAAGCAAAGGAAAAATGGCCCTGAAAAATACCCGGAGAAAATTTTAAAGAATCTATAGATAAATTATTGGCATTTGATAAAGTTCAGCACAGTAGTCTAGCTAAAAACAACTGCATTAAAAAAAAAATTAATTGCATTCCTATATACCAGCAATAACAACAATAAAATAATGAAATGCAAAAAAAACCCAGTATCACAACAACAACAAAAAGCATGTATCTAGGAAGGATGGTAACAAATCTCTAACAAGACCTTACGGAACAATTATAAAACTTTATTAAGCCCTCAAAGACAACCAGTAGACCAAGAGAACAGAACTTAAATATGCACAGTGACAGACCCTTGCATGGTTGGGCATTTGATATGGAAGTAATGGAACAAGGACAAAGTTTCAATAAGTGGCAGTGGAAGAGAATAGGCAAAAGAAATAACAACCAACTTTGGGTCTCTGATATCAAGCACAAAAATCAATTTGAGGCAAATTGGAGACCTGATTGAAAAGCAAAGCTACAATGTTTTAAAAGCAATAACGGTACATCCAAAACTTCAGGGTAGGGAATTATTTATAAAGACACAAGATGGACCAGAGTTATAAAGAAAATGTTTGCTAAATTGTACTATCATCAAAATTAGTAACTTTTGTTTATCATAAAAGATCATTATTAGAGTGAAAAGACCATTCACAAAGTGGAAGAGGATATACTTGTAGTATACAGTATATACATACCAAAGGACTGGTATCCAGAATATATAAAATGCTAATTAATATAAAGCAAATTAATGAGACAAAAAATGACATAGAGAAAAATTGACAAGACTTGAGCAGACCTTTTACAAAAAGGGAAATCCAAACAATCACAAACCACACAAAAGTGCTGAACTTCTTTCATCATCCGTGAAATCCAAATGAAAAATCACAATGAGCTATCACTGCATAATTACTATTGTTTTTGTTAAAAGCCGTTGAGTTAGTGCCAACTTGTAGCGACCCTGCACCAACTCTGCAGTTCAAACTGACCTTGCAGTCCAACACCATACCACTGAATAAGTATGGTGAGAGGATACAACCCTGCAAATGCGTTCCCTGATTTTAAAACATTCACTATCCCTTTCTTCTCTTCTCAATTCTGCAGAACCTGTACTGAGTCTATGTACAGGTTCCACATGAGCACAACTAAGTGTTCTGGAATTCCCACCTTGTGAACAAGGTTATCCTTTCTTTGCTATGATTCATAAAAATGCCTTTGCATAGTCAGTAAACATAAACATAACATAAACAAGTAAACATCTTTCTGGTGTCCTCTGTTTTCAGACAAAATCTATTCTGTCCTAGAAGGTCACACTATGAGTCAAAGTCAGCTTGACAGCAACTGGTTTTTTAAAAAGTATTTTGCGGAATATAGTTTGAGATTATACTAATATCCTGTTCCGTTTTACTCACTAGTTTCAGCATCCAATGATGTTTGTTGGCTGAACTAGCATACTACTCGCAATGCTGACAAATATGAGTTTCTAGTTCCTTCCTTCATTCCACATTTAATACCTACTATAAAGGAAATTTTAAAATTTATTCATCAGTATTAACTCACGATTCCTATTTTAGTCAATGACTATAACTCACCTATTTTAGTCAATGACTATAACTCACCGTTACAGTTAAGTGCAGTCAAGTCAATTCCAACAAATTACACCACCATGTGACAGAATGTAACTTCTATATATGACTGTCTAGTCTAAAATCTTTATGGGAGCTGTTCACCAGGTTTCTGCCCCAGTAGAGCCTCTGGGTGGGCTTGAACCACCAAACTTTCTGTTAGGAACTCAGTGTTTAACTGCTGTGCTACCAATACTCTTTATGCTATTGTTAAGTGTCATCGATTCCGACTCATCGCGATCCTGTGTAGTGTTTCTGAGGAGAGGCTGGGGAGCTGGAACCACCAACCTTGAGGTTCAAACTGATCTTTATAATCCATTACTATCTTTTTTTTTTTTTGGATGCTTAAATTATCCCACATTTGACTGTTTAGTGTTGCTGTTGTTGTTAAGTGCCAGCGAGTTGATTCCGACCCATAGCGACCCTGCATAGGGTTTCCAAGGAGCAGCTGGTGAGCTTGAGCCACTGACCTTGCAGTTCAAACGGCTTTGCAGTCTGACGCGTTAGCCCACAGCGCCACACATTTGACTGTGGTTCCTTCAAAATGACTTCTTTTCATGTGTTCCCATAAGGCACTTCCTTATGCCTTCTTGTCCCCACCGTAGAGTATTGCTGCCTTCTGGTCTTCTAAGTGATTCATAGCGACCTTATATGGGTTTCCAGGGCTTCAAATATTTGCTGAAACAGAAAGCCTCATCCTTCCCTCATGGAGCAGCTGGCAGGATTTATGGCCATACTTCTTCGAACCAGTCCAGTACTTACGGTGGGCTATAATTGACCTAACCACTCTGCTCCTCCCAAACAACTCCTCTCCTTTTGTAGGGACCAAGCACTATACTACCAGGGTTACTCAAAAAAAAAAAAAAAAAAAAAGGAATTAAGGTCTCTTGTACAGCGGACAGAGACCTGGTGTAGCGCTGTGGGTTAACTCGCCAGACTGCAAAGCCGTTTGAACTACAAAGTTGGCGGTTCAAGCTCACCAGCTGCTCCTTAGAAATCCTATACAGGTCGCTATGGGTCGGAACCGACTTGACGGCACTTAACAACAACATATAGGGGACGGAGTCCTGGTGTGGCGCTGTAGGATAATGTGCTGGACTGCAATGTCGTTTGAACCACAAGGTTGGCGGTTCAACCTCACTAGCCACTCCTCAGAAATCCTATACAGAGTCGCTATGGTTCGGAACCGACTCGACGGCACTTAACAACATACAGGGGACGAAGATGCTTTGGTAGCATAGTGGTTATGAATCGGGCTGCTAACTCCAAAGTCAGTTTGAAAATTCCAGCTATTCCATGGGAGAAAGATGAGGCTTTCTGCTCCGGTAAAGATCTGAGTCAGAACCGACTCCATAG